ATAGATAGATAGATAGATAGATAGATAGATAGATAGATAGATAGATAAGAAGGAGAGAGAGAGAGAGAGAGAGAACAGTAAGAAGGGGTCAGGATATATACCATCAAGGACCAGACACCAGGGATCTACCTCCTCCTCCACGTGGGTTCCACTTCCTAAAATTTCAAAAACCTCCCCAGTAGTGCCACAAACTGAGCACCAAGCCTCTAATATGTTCTTTATGCCTAGGAGGTGTGTGTGTGGGGGTGCATTCACTTTATGATTAAGACATTGTTGAGATGTGCATAGTTGGGTTAGGGAGGCATAGACGGACTTGAGGTGGAAAATAAAGTCTCCCATGCCCCAGGCTTATACTCAACAGGCCAACGTCCATGCCCAAGTCCTTATTTTAATGGGAGCTACTGTGAGTGTCAGTGCTGGGCAGACGCCAAGCCTGCCATGGAAGGAGCTGTGTGGGTCTCCCAGCTCTTTTGTGCTTTAGAGGTTTTGCTTGGCATGGCCTTTTACAGTTTGGCAGCTCAGGAAGTACAAATGAGGGACTCAGCAGATTTTTTTTTTTCAAGTTTTGTTCTTCAAATATTCCTTTAATGATAGTATTTCTGGGACAGGGATTCTTGGTGTCCTAATTAGTTGTTCTTGATGTTTCTTTCAAAGCATCGTTTTGCATTTGTGGCTCTGCCCAAGGCTCTTGTTTTTATTCTTACATGCCGGTAGTTTCCTGAAACACAGGAAAGGCCCTGTCTCTGTGGCCAGGTAATGTGGCTGAATCCAGTGACGACACTGAAGGGAGGCGGCCTTAGGAAATATCAACTGGCAAACAAAAGGAAAATGGAAAACTAGCGTGCAGGGCTGCCAGGCTCTGCCTGCTTCTCACTCCCGACTCTGAGGTCTGCCTTAAAAAAAAAAATTCTTTTGTTACTCTACAATACATTTTCAATTGCATTTGAGCAATTAACACTGGGAATAGAATCCTGTTGTCACATTTAATTATCAGATAGCTGCTCTCCTTGGGAATATCTGACAATTGCCCAAAATGTTGGTCTTAATCTAAAAGCACAGAGAGACCTCTGCTACAGTGAAAGCTGCCAGCGTGGCATTTATTAAATATAAATGGCTACATGTCTAAAGAGGAGGTGGAGAAAGATTGCTGGGGTCTCGTCTTGGGAAGAAACCGCTCAGCACAAAGGGAAACGACATCTGCACTCAGCTGAGGCAGCTTCAGGGTCATGCGGTGCATGAAGGGTTAGCACCCCCGGGCTCACCTTAAAGTGCTGAATCTGCATTGAGAAGGTGAAGTGTCCTGACCCTGAGTTCTAAAACCCCATCTGCCAAAAGCTAAATTACGGAGCTTCTGTCAGTCTGTTATCTGGGAAGCAACTAGTGGGAGGAAAATACTAAGTGGCATTGATTTGAAATGTGGAAGCTCATTTCTGTGCATCTTTGGAACCTTCAGTGAATCAGCTAAATATATGCACTGAGAAAAAAAAAATCTGTTACCCTCTGGGTATTATCTTGTAATAAGCTGGGGGTGTGAATGCCATTAACAGTGTTAGATATTAGGTGCCTAATGAATCGTGCTCATTATTGGAGATCTTCTGTGACAACAATACCTTAAAAGCTATGAGTGCTGTATCTCTGTTGGAGAGAGAAGATGCTATTAAAGACATCAGGAATTACCTCCAGGATGAACCATGGTTAAAGCGATACGGGGTGGGGTCTGGTACTTACTATGTGAGGACTATGGCCACCGCATCGTTCAGCACACTCTCCCCGAACAGCAGTGTGTACAGGTCAGGGTCCACATGTAGTTCGTGGAAAATGGCCAACACCGTCACTAGGAAGACACACAGGAAGAGGACAAGTTAGCTAGGACACAGCCATGAAATGTGTCTTGGTTGTGGTCCCTTTTAAAAAGCGTTTACTAAATACTGATCTTCTCAAACTCACCCTCCCATACCAACAGGAGATCTTCCTTCGGGAACAATGGATTGTCATTCCCCTTCCCCCAGTGGGGAAGTCCTAGCTGCACCATGCTTACCTCCCAGCGATGCAAACAAGTTCCACCCTCTGCTGCAAGTTCTGAACGAACTTGCTGCAACTTTCCAAACATACTGCAGTTTTATTTTGTTTTGTTTTGCACTTGACACTTCTTAAAAGGACAAAAATGTCTTTGGCATTTACTTCTACCATTCCCTCATTTTTATATGTGTTCCCCAACACATACACAGAGAGAGGAGAAGGGCAGATTACAAACACTCTTGCTTCTGAAGATCCTTTTATTCATTCTTTAAGGGTCTCTAAAGGGACTCCCTTGGAATCTCCCGATCTCCTCTTGTAATGGCTCATTCCTTTGTGATCCTAGCACTTGGATCAAATCACAGACTAACAGAAGGGACTGAGCTCTCTGGCGTTTATTTGGCCAGCATGCAATAATTGTTTGATGCATGCATGAAGGAATGGGCAAATGAATATTGCTGCGGTGGCTTACTGCTGTGGCTGGAGAGGCAGCCAGATCCTGGCTCTCATTTGTTCTAGAGAGCACATCAGCCATAAAAACAGACTCGGTTTTCTCCAGAGCAGGACTCAACTCAGTCACTACATGCTCTTTAGCGTCTATTACGGCGATAGATGTCACACGCTGATTGTCTGGGCTCCTCAAAACTACCTGGTGTCGATATTCGAGACAGCTATGCAATGTATGAGCAGCACTCATTAGGAAGAAGACCCACTGAATTGATTGCCAAGAGGGAAAGAGAGAGGTACAAAATCATACTGATGGAAAAAAAGGCAGAATGGTACTTTCACTTCTGTTCTTTCCTCTCCTGTTTCATGAAGTATGAGGCCAATATGCACATGGTAGACAGGGTGCTGGGGGGTAGAGGGGAAAGGAAGTGAGTTAAGTGTGAGGGTTTTGTGAGGAATCCAGAAATTTGGAGGTTTCCTGTCTGCCACAGTAGAAAACAATTGAAGGTCTTTTGTAAGAGGGTTGACCTAGTCTGATGTGAACTTGGGCATAAAGCTCAGACAGCAGAACAGAGGCAGGAAGAGAGGTGGCTCAAGGCCTCCCCAGTAGTTCCAGTGAAAGATGGGTTGGTCCAAGAAAGGGAGAGGTGTGAAATTAAGCTCCAAGCTCATACACGCGTGCGCGCGCGCGCGCGCGCACACACACACACACACACACACACACATCACTGTTGGCCTTGCACATCTACCAATGCAGGTACAGCTTGTCTAGTGACCACAGCGCTCATACATGGCTTATTCACTGGTTCTCATCTTCCCAGCTCATAGCACTGTGCTGCAGTGTAGCATGTTGCTTAGTGACTGGAGAAGCAAGGAAGTGTTGTAAGGACAGAGAGGAAGGGACAGTGGCCCCCATGCTACTTGAAGAAGAAGATAGTTGGGTCTTAGTTTCTGAGAGAGAGAAGGGAACTCTAGATTCAGACTTACTGTAAAACACGATGAACACGTTTAAAAGAACGTATTATGCACTTGAAAATTGCAAGAGAGTAGATTTCAAATGTTCAAAAAAAGCAAAAAGATTGATCAGCATTTGAAGTGAGGCTCATGCTGATTGGCGTGATCACCCTTCCTACTGTTCCCAGGCACAAACTATATAAACGCAGTTGAGTTTTATTAATCAAAGTATTTTATCTTTTCTTTAATGCTTTAAAAAAAGAAGCTGGGTCTTGAGGTAGAGCTATTCCCAGTTTTATGAGATAGCATCAGATTGATTTCCAGAGTGGTTGTACAAGTATGCATTCCCATCAGTAATGAAGGAGGGTTCTCTTTTCTCCACATCCTCACCAGCATGTTCTGTCACTTCCATTTTTTGATCTTAGTCATTCTGATGTGTATAAGACAGAATCTCAGAGTTGTTTTGATTTGCATTCCCTGATGACTAAGGACGGTGAGCATTTTTTAAAGTGCTTTTCGACCATTCAACATTCCTCTGTTTGAGAATTCTCTGTTTAGCTCTGGATCTCATTTTTTTAAATTAGATTATTTGTTTCTTGTTGTTTAATTTCTTTAGTTCTTTATATATTTTAGATATTAGCCCTTTGTCAGGTATAGGATTGATGAAGATCTTTTCCCAATCTGTAGGCTACCATTTTGTTTTATGGACAGTGTCCTTTGCCCTACAAAAGCTTTTCAGTTTCATAAGGTACCATTTATTGATTGTTGATCTTAGAGCCTGAGCTATTGCTGTTCTGTTCAAGAAGTTGTCTCGTGTGCCAATGAGTTTAAGGCTATTCCTCATTTTCTCTTCTAATATATTTGGTGTTTCTAGTTTTATGTTGAGATTTTTGATCCACGTAGATTTGAACTACAATTCACTGACTGTCCGGAGCCGTGACTCCAGTGGCCTGCTTTGATATTTAAATCTCGGTGGAGAGATGGCTTTTGGGAGGCCTTTACTAATGGCAGGAGAACTTGCAAGTCCATCTCCTTTTGTTTGTGACAGCAGGTAGGATAGGTTGTGAGGGTCACACCTCTTCCTCAGGCTCCTTGTGCAAATTAAACCATTGTTCTGAGATATTTCTACTCTGGCTTAGAAACTCTACAATAAAAAGACAGGCCGACAGTTACTGCAGAAGAAGGCCGACTCTTGTGTAAACAGGAGTCAAATAAGCAACTAGATACAATGTTGTGCTATGGGAGGAGCCAGAGGACAAGAAAGAGGGGAGGAGCTAGAGAACAGGAAGGGGCGAGAAGGAGGAGGAGCTCCAGGAAAAAGCTCGAGGAGAAAGCACGAGGAGGGCAGAGCTGGAGGAGAGAGCTTAGAGGACGTGGAGCATGAACCAGACCTAAGATTTCACAAAAAGCAAGTATAATATGGGAAATCTAAATGTTAGGAAACAGAGGGCTGGAGGCAGAGACTTGAGACTTGCTGCTTACACTGCTTGCTGCAGCAGCCTGCCTTTTGCTGTGGCTGTCGGACCTTTAAAAAAGTTTCCTGTGTGCTGTGTGTTTATTTAAATAATATTAATCCTCACTCCCGACTCAAGAACCGTTTGACTCTGCTGGCTGGCCCCGGCAACTGACCCAAAGAAGAAAAGTAACAAGGAGGACTAAGGGAAGGATGCTTAACTCCCACTCAGAAGTTGAAGCAGAATAGACAGTGGAGTGGTTCAAGAGATCTAACAGGGTAAGAGAGGGAGGACAGAGAGAGATGAGGGTTGATATAGTACCTAGGAAGAGTGGTGGTGGTAGGGGAGACAGAGAGCTTGCAGAAAGAAGAGAAACCTTTGGCGGAGACTTTTCTGTGACACGCTGGAAGCCTATGACAGGGTAGGATCCTGGGAGGACATGAGGGTGACTCTAGCTAAGACACCTAGTAAGAGGGGCATGGAGACTGCAGAGGCCACCCTCTAAGTAGACATAACTCCTAATGGGAGGAGGGAAACACAAACCCACCCACAAAATCTTCAACCCAAAATTTACCCTGCCTACAAGATATGCAGGGACAAAAATAAAGCAGAGATTGAGGGACTGTCCAACCAACGACTGGCACAACCTGAGTCTCACCCTATGGGAGACAGCCAACCCCTGACACAATTAACGATGCTCTGCTGTGCTTGCAGATGGGAGCTAAGCATAGCTGTACTCTGAGTGGCTCCTAATGAAAACAAATGCCGAGACCTACAACCAAACATCGGGTGAAATGTAGGGAGTCTTGTGGAAGAGTGGGGGGAAGGATATAAGGACCCAGAGGGGACAGGAGCTCCACATGAAGACCAACAAAGCCAACTAATGAGGGCCCAGGGGGGCTGTGGAGACTAAAGCACCAACCAAGGACCATGCATGGACTGGCTCTAAACCCCCTGCACAGATGTAGCCAATAATGGGCAGGTTGGTCTTCATATGGGTTGCCTAGTAAGGGGAATGGGGGTTGACTCTGACATGGACTCTCTTGCCTGCTTTTCAATCACTTTCCTTTGCCAGGGCTACCTCACTGGGACACAGGGGAAGAGTATGTGCTCCTTCCAGATTAATATGCTGGGGTGGGTGGGCCTTCCCTTTTCTGAAGAGTAGGGGAAAACAGGGAGGGAAGGTAGAATCGGGAGAGGAGGTGGTAGGGGTTTACAACCAGGATGTAAAATGAATAAATAAAAATTTAAAATACAATTAAAAATTAAAAGAGAATCTAGACTCTAATAACAAAACAAATGAAGAGAGAGGTCATGAATTAGAATGACAGGGGACTGTTTCCTTTTTGAAAACAAAGGATAAAAATCAGTTTCCTATTCAAGCTGAGAGGGTCCCATTAATCACACAAGGCAAATGGCAGAGATCTACTCTCAGCCCCTGAGTACCTCTGAATCATCAGGTACAATTGGCAGCCTCTGCAGTTGGGGACGGAGGGGGTGGGGTGGGGTGGGGTGGGGTGGGGGAATTCATCTCTCTTTGGTGATCACTTTCTCCATCTCAGGTTGAGTCAAGAGCCTTGGATAGATCCAGGCTGAGATCTTGTGGAATAAAGTACAAGTTATTCTCTAGCAGAAAATTCTGTCGCTGCAGCTCACGTGCTGGTTTCAGCTTCTGTGTGTATCTGTTCCTGAGCTCTGAGGATAGCTTGTAATGCATCTCTACTCTTGGGGACATTTCCTAGGTTCGCATGCACCATGCACCGTAAGGCTTGCCTTCTTATCCTCAAGACCCCACTTGTTGCTACCCGCTCTGTTCTGTGAGACGGATTCTGCATTTTTCCAAAGAGAGCACAAGGCTATTTTGAGGAGAGTCTTTTAACTACATCCAGTCATGTTCAGAACCAATCTGACATTCCCACAATTCCTCCTGAACAAAGAACTGAGCCCCGCTTCACAAACGATA